CTGCGTGGTTCTCTGTCTACGAGGGCGAGCGGGCGCTCTGCGGACGGCGCGTTCCAAGTTGGCATTTTTACTTTTTATTACGTGTGGCCTGGATAAACACTCATTTGCAGAGGTTCGAGGTTGGAATCCGGCAGGCCGCCCTGGATTTGTGGACATCTCCACCGAACACAAACACTGCAACTGGGTGCGGGCGGTTAACTGGTCAGGGGCTGAACGTGCGACTGTCGGATACGCGACGTTTTGCAGCCGTGGAAAGCGAGCAGGAAGTGCCGGTAGTCCCCAACCCTTTATCTTCATGCATTTGTCGCCACTCTCAGACGATGCGGTCTGCACTCGTGATCCAGTTAACACTTCATTTGCGCAATGCGTCTGAGACCCTGAGACAATGATAAGTCCGATGTCCAATGTCGCTGCCAGACGGAGTTGAACAACCAAGCACAGGTGATGGTGGCCTTCTGTTCAAGATGCTTAACTTGCGTAAACAAACCTTTGCACAGCGGCTGTTAGCCGCAACTTTATTTAAGGGCCTCATTCTTTTGCCTCAATTGCTGCATCTTTAAAACGGGTGAAAGACACGTCTGACTAAAACAGGGTTGTCTATGGAAGCTGCATTCAAGGTTTGTGTCTAAATTACTTGAATATGAACGGACATTAAACGAGCACAATAATTGGGGAAAAAAATACAACGTAGACCATCATATGAGATGGAGCGGTGGTGCAGTGGTTGGCGCTCTGGGCTGTGAAGCTAGTGACCCGAATTCAAATCCCACTCACGACTGACTTCAGTGGCGTGTGGTCCTGCCTCTCCCGCCCCCTCCCTTCACCAACCCGCAATAGACCACAGTGGTGAAGTATGGTCACATCACCACCACCCCCAAGACCTTTACGATGATGTAACCTTTCAACCAGCAGTGGATTGATTAAGGGCTATGAATATTGTTAATTGCATCCTAAATGAGAAGTGGAGTTAGTGGAGTTAGTGGGGCACTGGGTTAGCATGCTGCGGCTATGAATCCGGTGACCTGAGATCGATTCCCAGCCATGACTAACATCAGTGGCGGGCGGCATGCAAACCGGTGCGAGCCCCCCACTTAACCAACACGCATTTAAACAAACAACCCCTGTGACCGATCTTAACTACTAACTATTAACTTTTTATATTACCAGGTCAGGCCCACTGAGCTATATGGTTCTTTTTCAGAAGCGATCTGGCCACAAATGACGACTCAAGAAAGTGGCTTAGGACGTGGAAATTAATAGCAGCCAAATACTCTAAACACACGTTGATTCTAAACGTGGAGAGAAATACCGAAAGACCTGGAGAAAAATCAGTGCGACCACGGGGAGAGAGACACAAACAGCAGGCGTCAGTCGGGATCGAACCAACGACCTCCTGTATATCAGGCGAGGTAGTGAACATCTCGCATCCGTGAGATGTTAACTACCTCTGGGCGGCCTTGATTCAGCAGTGGATTGACAGAGGGGCTGTAAAATACAGTGCTATTATTATTGGTACTCTGGAGTGCTTAACAGGTGGAGTAGAGACCCAGTGGTTATCCGACCACGCGATGAACCCAGTAACCCAAATTCAAATCCCGCCCACGGCTGACATCAGCGGCGAGTGATATCTGAGCTGGTGAATTATATTTAAAGCAACTCCCCATGATCGATTTTGTTTTGTAGAGGAATTCATTCAGCAGCGGATTTCTAAAGAAAGGGGCTGTAAAAATAATAATATTCATAATGAAACAACATCCATCTAATTTAGTTTTAAACAATTTCCTTATAACATTTACTGTATTCTCTGGATCACAAAGCACACCTCCCCCCCCACCACCCTTGTATTCTAAAGCAAAAGTTGGGGGTGTATTTTATCGTATATGATCTGGTAGGTGTGCTTGTGTGTGTGTGTATGCGTGTTTAAGACCAGATTTGTAAAACTCTACTGACACGCGTTTAGGATGCGTTTTTCCCGAGTGTGGTATAATCCGGAGGATACAATACCTCTGATCAGAGCCCAGAAGATTTGAAGCCTGACATAGCGAATAGCGTGAACACTACACAGATCATTTGAACATTTGGTGTACAGTACAGTTATGGATTATTGGGTAGCTTCAGAACATTCACGAGCGAGAACATCAGCTCAGTTTCTTAGATAAAAAAACAACTACACCAATAGGTGAGGAAGCGCGGCGTGGTGGTAACACTTGTGCCTCGGAGAAAGGAGCACCTGGGTTTGAATCCCGATTTGGCTGCCTATCTAAGACTGAAGCAGGAGGCTCGTGACCAGAAGCCACGGCAATAAGTGAGAGGCGCATCTTGGATGTGGCGTGCCGGGTGCGTAAATATTCTACGGGCCGCTGACCCGGACTGACCCCGTGGCTGCTCTTGTCCACCCCTTCGGACCGTTCAAGTGTGACGTAGCGTTTCGGCTTCCAGGAGACGACGGCATGGATTCTGTTGGGCGACGGGCGACGTGCCGTCGTTATGGCTATGCAGTCTGCGGCTCCTGGGGGTTCATGGCATTGGGGCGTGTTTGACCGTTGGCCCTCGAGCCGTTCCGCCAGCTGGCAGGCGGGCTCGCGCGCGTGCCCGGGGTCGGCTGTGGGCTGCGTGACTGCCCGCACGAGGCGCCTCCAAGGTGACCCTTGGCGTTCTTTCCACGCTCGTTACGGCGCCCATTGCCGTGTTTACCTACAGGGTGTATCCTTGTGAACGAGTCGCCTCTTCTCCATTGGCCATGCTGTTCCTCTTCCCGCCCCCTCCATCTCTCCCCTTCTCTAACCTCTACTCGCCCTCGAACGTCGGCACCCGTTCCTAATCCTTTGCACGCCCCTGCCATCTAAATAATTTCTTTGTTTATACCGTTTTGTATGTTAAAGAAACTTGTTTAAATGCTCTTTATAAAAAATAAAATAAGAAAAGGTAAGATAAGATTTCACCATTCACTTACCCGGCAATTCGAATGAAATGGCCGTGTTGCTAAGGAAGCATCGAAGAAGCTTCATTTGCATTTGCACGGCAAAGCCCTCATCTGTAACTCGCTGAATAGTTATCACTGCTGCTATACAGAGTTACAGATTAGGCCCAAGTTGGAATCCTGCTGCTGTTATATCTGGCGTGGAGCCTCCAGTTCCTACCTCACCGCACCCGATAGAATTCAACGTAAAGCAGTCGGGCGATTGATGATCCAGCACTCGCCAAATCGCTCCAGTCACGGACGTGACCGCAATGGCGGTCGGTCGCCTTCTTATCGCTGGTCTATCGCTACTACCACCATGGCTACCGTTCCCATGACCTTCACTCGTTGATTTTATGAACTCTTTAGCTACTGTATCTTCCATGGTGCTGTTAGTGGCAGGCTGCTTGGCAATTTTGGGCCATTGGACACCTGTGGATCGGCAAAGTATGATAAGAATTGATTATTTTCTGCTGTTTTTACTGGCGCTCGTTTCTCACCAGCCGCCGCCTTATCCCCCCCCCCCGACTCATTCGTACGATTTTGTTCGCCCCGTCAGGACAACCGTAAGATCGGCATAATTTATTTGCTCGTGGCTTGTATCTCGAATAATCAAATCTTACGTGAATGATTCGACGGAGTTCATCGCGAGCGGGGGGGAATCGAATTTTATCGATGAATTTCGCGGTGGCGATCGTGGTGGTGGGGGGTGGTGGTGGGGGGTGGTGGTGGGGGGTGGTGGTGGGGGGTGGTGGTGGGGGGTGGTGGTGGGGGGTGGTGGTGGGTGGGTGTTGTACCGTGTGCCCTGTGCTGCCAATGCCCAAAAATGCTGCCTTGCAGGTTCCGCTCCTCTCCTTTTGTCCGTGCGATGAATTGGCACAAATACTTATGAACTCCTCTGATTGTTTATCAAACGTGGAAAAAAACCCCCGTCGCATTGTCTCAACAGCAGCCAAGCCCAACAACAAACTCTGATCCTTTTTGTTATTTACTTATTGACTTTAAAATGTAAAATGTTCAGTTCATTGCCAATCATCCACTGCTGGATGAAGCCCTCCCCATCCATCTTCTTGATCATGGGGAATGTTTGACCATACTTCACCGCGCTTGTCAATGCGGATTGGTAAATCAAGGCCGGGTGTGGGGTCAGGGTGCCCAGGTCCAGTTCGGATGGCACTCTCCACTGACGTTAGCCGCAGCCGGGTATTCAACTCAGGATTCATGGTCCAGTGTTGCTAACCGCTGTGCCACCGCTCTACCCCGTCCACCATATTTCCCCAACAAACAAAATAACTGAATGGGCGCAGTCCATCATTCACGGGTGTTTGGTGTCGTTTTGACCATACTTCGCCAAGCTGGTTAATGTGGATTGCTAATAAAGAGCTCGGTGGTTGGGGTGGTTGTTCAGGACTGGTTGGGGTGTCGCTCTCCACTAACCGTTAGCCCGCGGCTGGGAATCGAACTCTGGTTGCCGGGTTCGGAGGACGTGGGTGGGCGCTAACCACTGCGCCACTGCTGTTCTCCCTCGGACTCTGTACGCGTGTGGACTCGTGAAGACGCGTGTGTGCGCGTGTGTGTGTGTGTGTGTGGCGGAGCAGGGGAGACGCAAGGCGTGCCATGCCTTCTGCTGCCAAGTGTGTGCAGAGTGCGTCTGCTCCCCCGTCTTTCGTTTCATCTGCATCTCAGTTGGGCCACTTGGCAACCTACGAAAACAAACCCGGATTTTTATAAATATTCAAAATTGTTATTCGCGCGGTGGCTAGCGCTCTTGGCCATGCACCTGGCTAACCCCGGTTCGATTCCCAGCCACGGCTAACTAGCCTCTGTGTTCCCCTTCACCCCCTCCTCTCATCGCCTAACCAATCCGCACTGACCAATGCGGTAAAGTATGGTCAAACAACCCCCACGACCGACACGGCATGGGGAGGCCTTCATCCAGCAGTGGATGAACACACATACACACACAGTAGCGTATGTAATATTTGTTTTGAAACCGTACGCCGTGTATATTAACGATGCGAACGGCCTTCTTCTTGTTCAGGACCCAAGACCGTTTTCTTCTACGCCCCGCTCGTGAAATGGGTGAGCAAAGCCCTCGCGGGGAGATTCACGTCGAGACGGCGCCACAGCTTCGTCAAACGCTCCCGTCCGCTCGCAATCACCCGGGACGATGACGCATAACAGATTCCTACATTGAGGCCATGTAGAATCGGGGGGGGGGGGGGGGGGGGGGGGGGGCGGGGGTTTAAGACGTGGGACGCGCCGGCCCGTTTATCACGTTGACCTCCGTGTTTGTGGCCACGTGGGCAACAACCCCTCGGCAAGGTGAGGAGCAGCGGCTACTCGAGGAACCCGCAAACGCGCATCGGGGAGCTCGCTTCTGTGTTCTCTGGATCACGAGACCCTCCGGAAAAGTCAATAAGGTTACAACAACTGCGATCACACTCGCAGCGACTGGATTATAAGACGCACCCCACAAATGTTATCTTTAAAATAAAGCGGGGGGTGGGGGGGGGGAAGTGCGTATAAGTTATTTTATTATTATTATTGCACTTGTTTACGCAGGAAAGCCTCACTGAATCTCAGTGGGTCCTGCCCATATTCCACAGTGCTGGGGGGGAAGGGGGGGGAGGTAGCGATGGTTGCTTCCTATATATTCCATTGGAGTAACCTGCGAGCAACCTTTCCAAATTTGACGCATTGATCCTACTCCTGCGACCGACAGCACAGGATCTTTAACGCCCACCGTGAAGCAGGCGGCACGTCTTCATTTTTATTGTTCAGACACCACAAGCAGCGATTACCAGGGTGGCCCGCCGGAATCGAACCGCACTACACCTGGGTCGCGTCACCAGCCCAAAACAACGACAAATATCCCCCGTATAGCCTTAATAGACTGTTGGGGAAAGTGCTGTTAGCGAGCACCTATGAAGGCCAGCACGGCACATGAGGGGGTGGTTGTCTCCCTAGTGGCGATGTTTACACGATGAACTAGGTACTTATTTGAGACCGAGTCGACCTAGGGGAGACCCACAACCGGTTCAGATAATCATAACTGGTGGTGGGCGTGAGCGGGAATCGAACCCGGGTCGATAAGTTCATAGTGCAGCACGCTAACCGCGACACCACTGCTCTCCACACACGTGAGGTTTACAAATCTCTCGTTTAGGATGGGTAATATAGTTCAGCTCATCATCAGAATGCTATCGGGTATTGTCTCGGCAACACGTAGAACACAGTAACCGAATTAATCGTGAATAAGCAAGCCCCTAGTGACAGTGACTGTTGCATGCCCACGCGTGTGTAAACATGTTGCGTAGGACGCAGTGTTTCCAGTTTCATGACCTCGTTTAACGTCACCGTTTTACAAACCCCTCTCTTCGGCAAATGCTTCTTTCCCCCATCGCAGCGGTTGCACTACAACCGTTTCGACCGGTCACAGGTTGATTTTTGTTGAACCAGGTGGGAACTTAAACACGGGAACGCAGTCTCATTTGCGAGAGGTGACACTGGGTCACCAAAACGACAAAAGGAAATATCTAAACTACGCACGTCCGTGAAGCGAATAGAAATCGGTGCAAAAACAAACTGCCTTAGGGAAGACATCGAAAACGGTGCACAAAACAAAAAGTCCGTAGCATCTAAAAAAAAAATACACTTCCAGTGACAACGGTTGGATCGAACAAATTGCTTTCAAAAAACATTCTCGGTAAAAAAAAAATTCCATGACTCAATCGTCAAGGGAAATTTAAGGTGACTGTAGTGGAATTGTGTCCCTCAACTGTATATAAAATAAAAATTAAAGCCACACTGTGTCTGAAGAGGGTCCTGCTACACTGGGAAGTTTGCCCAACGCCGATGACACTCTAATTGTGTTTTTATCCATGGGAGGAATGCCCACACAGAAGAACAGAGGGAGAACATGACAAACTCCACACGCAGAAAGGCGCCCGAGTCGGGAATCGAACCCAGGCCCTTCTCGCTGCGAGGCACGATTGTTACCACTGCTGTGCCGATCTGTGTTCCTCGACCTCACCCGAACCCCACTCGTCTCGCTTGACCCCAACCACCCCCAACCCCTTCCCGACCTAGGGGCTGGTGATGGCCGGAATGGCCGATATGGCGCGACCTGCTGATAAGTTGAGCGCGAGCCAATCCGGCGTTCTTTGCTTATCTGGTAACATAATCGCGCCATACACCCCAGTGCACTGACACACACACGCGCACGCGCGCGCGCACACTTGCAAGCACGTACACACACACACGCGCACACTTGCATGCAATGACCTCATCAGCACATGACTGAAGACACAGATCCCGCTGTAGCCATGCGGGTTGTCGTGGCACGTGCCGTTAGCGAGCGCCTCTTTTATTTGCAATAATAACCGGCAAGGATGTTTCTGCTACCCCCCGGTCGCCGCCGCCCCCCAGTTAACACACACACACGGGTACCAAGACAGACACAAACACACAAAATACTCACACGCACACAAAGATACCCCGCGTAGCCAACACAGGCAGTTGGGGCAGTTGTTGTTAGCAAGCACCTATTAAGGACAGCATAGCGCACAAGGGAATGGTATGGCCATTACCACACCCGGCCACCTTTGTCTCTCCAGTACTCAACCTAGGGGAGGTCCAGCAATGTTTTGGATATTGGTCAATGGTGTTACTTAGCCCTTGAGCTACCTGGGACCCTACGCGTTTGCATAGTTTCCTTAAGCCTAGCACCGCCACTGTATAAACAAGGATCCCCTATATAGCCTAAACAGGCTGTTGGGGCAAGTGCTGTCAGCGAGCACCTATTAAGGCCCGGGACAACACACAAAAGGGGGTAGGTAGCCAGCACCACGCCCGGCCGCCTTTGTCTCCCCAGTGCTGATATTCTACACACTGCACCAGGTACTCATTTGAGGCTGAGTCGACCTAAGGGGGCCCCAGGACAGGTTCAGGTGATCGTCACTGGTATTGGCCATGAGCGGGGTTCACACCCGGGTTCGTTGCCCTGCTCGCTAAGTGCTACACCACCCCTCTCCACTGTATTTACACACGCGTGTGCACACACACACACTTGCGCTGCCAGGAAGCCAGAGCAGAAGGAATGTGTACTGGCATTTAGCCAGGATTGCAGAGCTTATGAGGAAAACTCAACACGTTGTGCTCATCATGTTTTTTAAATTAATTTAATGTACGTATGTATGCTGAACTTCTTTCGCACAGGACTTAGCCTACTGTGCTAGACGTTTAATAGTTTTATCATAATAAAAATTACACTGCGCATTATTAATTCGGGATTACACATAGTAGTAACCATCGCCCCCTGCTGGCAGACTAAGCCTGCCCGGAGGCTATATGCTGAGTTGTCTTCTGCCGCATAGGGACAGCTGCCACTGAGGGTGCCCTTCAAATATGTTGAGGTCCTCTTGTCATCATAGGCCACCGTCATGTTTGCTTAAATTTATTGTGATGGTGACCTTAGGCAACAGCATCACAATGCAGTTATTCAGGAACTGCTGATTGTATTTGCACAATACACAAACGCTGCGATTCGAACATTTGTCCAGGGTTTAAAAAGCTGAAGCGCACGCCTCCTGGTCAATATGATCCAAATTCAATTCTCAAGATTCTTTCTCAGGAGGCTCCTCCTGCTATGTTGGGGCGTTTGGCCAATTCCTTTGCGGAGTCTTGGGCTTCATGTCAGAGGAAAGCCGGGAATCCATAGAAAAAACACACTACGTGTTACACGACGGGGAGTGACACTCATCCATCTCCTGGGACGTATCGAGCAGCCTCACACCTACAGCACCTTGCAAGCCCCTCACGGTCACCCCGTCCAAGTTCCAGCCAGGCTCAAGCCCGCTTAGATTCCGAGATACGACGAGACCGGGCACATTCAGGATGATTTGGTTCCATGCTGCGTCAATATTTACAAAACTACGTGCATGTCGCAGTCACTTTTCGGCAACGATGTTATAATTGGCTCCATTTCAAATTAAAATTTGTGACTCTTCAGCGGTAAACATCTCACTACCTATTACTTCCACCGCTGCGGAAGAAAGTGTTGCGCGATATTATTTGCTGCATTAGTCGCAGTGATAAATTAGTCATGCTGCTTGTTGTATTCCCCAATCGTTCACGCGCGACGCGCGTTCCCGATGTCAAACACAGTGGGGCATTAATATTTACGCGACAGATTAGCCGGGTGCACTCCTCCTCCTCCCCACCCTCTTCGCTGTCAAATCATCGCGCATCCGCCAAATTCATTTCCATTTCGGGAGAGACACGGAGACGCCGCCGTCCTGATGCCGTCGCATGTTTATAACCGGGACGCTTTCACTCGACGTGCGTTATTGCAAACGTGGCCCGAGCGGCTGCGAATTCACCGCCGCGCGGGGTTTTCCGCAATCATGCTCTCCGGCTCTCCGGTGCGCACGTGCACGCGCCGTCTGGGCTGTAACCACCACCAGCACCACCGCGGTGTTGTCCGGCACGACTAGTCCGGATTTTTTGAACGGTTAAATTTTTTCACTCCACGTCCCCCGGAGGCTTCCGAAGGAGCTGCCAGCGATGCGAAGCGTCGGATGCGACGCCGGACAGATCGGCTGCCGTTCCCACGCTGGCACGCGTAGGGGCGGCACGCGTGACTCGTTCGAGCGAACAGGCAAGCGGTCCATTCGTCGAGGGCCGCAGGACAAGAAGATGGACGGGCACACGTGACTCGACGCACACGTGACTCGACACGCACACGTGACTCGACGCACACGTGACTCGACACGCGCGCGTGACTCGAAGCGACGAGCGTAGCAGGCTGTGGTGGTGCCATGCCGTTGTGGGCATTTAAAGTAGAAATATTTTTTTGCAGAGGGGACCTCTTTTTTTGTTTGTTCTAAGCTATCGATATGAGAGAAGCGATATGGACGAGAGATATAGCGATGCAGTGGGACAAGAGAGATGTGGACAAAAATAGAGACGGGAGTGGGATGAGACGTAATGGAAAGATCGAGATGAGAGATGTTCATTATTTCGCTTTCATGCTAATTAACTCGCAATGCTGATTCGAATCTGAATCTTTCAAGCTTGACATTTGATGCGCCCTTAACGAAGATGGGGGGGGGGGGGGGGGGCAAGCAGCCCAAGCTTCTGTCTACCACAGGGGTTGGCAACCTGCGGCTCCAGAGCCGTACGCAGCTCGTTAAGGACTGCCTCGTGACATTATTTATTAAAGACACCCACCGTCTCGTATTCATGCGCATTGCGGCTCTTGAAATATTCAGGTCTGTTTTAACGAATTCGAAAAAAAAAAAAATCCTTGTTATTTTGGCTGCCAACCCCTGGACCTAGGGGAAATACTCCTGAGTCTCAAGACTTGTTCAGGAGGGTCCTGCCACATCAGCACTGGGAAGACAAAGGTGGCCAGGCGTGGTGTTGACCACAACCCGCCCACCCGCCCCTATCATTATGCTTTGCCGACCTTCATAGGTGCTCGCTAACAGCACTCGTTCCCAACAACCTGCCAAAGCCTACACGGAGGATCTTTGTCTTCATATGCCTGCCGACCCCTGGCCTTGCACCGCCGCCACCGTGCGTGCGAGAGAGCCCTGTGGGGGAGGCCCGAGTGACGGTGTGCGGCGGTGGCGGTGCCGTTTTATTTTTTTGCAGGCTTCATCTGGTCGCGGTACACCCTGGTCATCATTCCGCGGACCTGGGCCCTGTTCGCCGTCAACTTCTTCGTGGGCTGCTGCGGTACCGTGCAGCTGGGCCGCATTTGGGTGTAAGTGTCGCGCCACGCCGCTCGGCGACGTTCAGCGATGCTTTCGAAGAGGCGGATTTTTAAAAAAGTCTTTTTAACGAAAATTATTTTGGTATTTTTTTTAACGTATATTATTTTGGTATTTATTGAGCGTTAACTGGGTGTGTGTCAACACGTTCTAAGAGACACTGACTGTTTCGTCTCATCCATTGCCATCGTGTTCAACCACCACCACACTGCAGGTCACAACAACACACTCGCCCACTCGCTGGCGATGATTATGGTCAGTTTGGTTTAAAATTAAACGTCACGATGAACGATGCACATTGCGTTCAGATGTTGGTGCGGTTGGAGATTAACGCGCCACGCGGTGGGTGGCCTGCGTTTCCCGCTAACGGTCGCTTCGTTCGTCATTTCAGATACCGGCAGAGCCTGGGGAAAACCGGAGTTGCCCTGGCGGAAATAGAAGAAGATTCGGGATAAAGCCTCGACGGCGAGAGATGTCCGATGCGCTTTCGGGTTGGATGGCGCGGGGTCCGGCGCCATGTCCGACGTTTCGCTCTCCACGTGCTGGCAGCTTCTTTCAGGATGTGCTTTTCGGGTTGTGCCGCGGTGTTGTTCGGTTTCTCCAGGAACCCGGTTGAGGGGCTCCCAACTCGTGCCGCAACATTTCCCATTGGCTGAAATGTTGCAGCCCGTGTTGCCGAAGGAGCTCCCAGCCGCGTGGAGCGGAACGTCGGACATCGGGCAGAACGACACGCGGCACAACACGAACGCGCATCGGAGAGGTGTACACCTCAACCGCGAAACTCCCACACACTGGTAATTACCCACGGGTGAATTATCTGGGTTTCATATTGCATGTTAGCGGATTCTGTAATCAGCTGCTCGTCACCTGTCGAGGGTCGGTGACTGATCAAAGTCGAGTGTTAGTGCCCACGCCACCGCAAACAGGAGCTGAACAAGACGCTCCCAGGATGTGGAGCGAAATGTCGGACACCGCCGCGCCAAACTACCCGCGGTGTACAACCCGAAAACGCATCGGATAGTCTCATACAGCGCAACCCGTGAAAACCTACGCAGACAGAAGGGAGATGTTGCCATCTGGAAATGCTCAGCAAAGAGGTGCCGTCCCTTAATGAGCGGCGCTGCTCTTATCGAGAGGTTGCTCTCTCGCACTCACCGTAAACATTTCATGTTCAGGGCGTGGTAGTAACGCAAGCACATCGGAGGGCCGTGTTCTTAGTCGGGGCCCAGCTCAGGCTTGAGCCGCTCAGTCGCTTTCATAAGACGCCCGAGTGAGCAGCTCGGCCACAGCTCCGCTCGGCTCACGGCAAATCCTGAACACGGCTGAGACCAGCTCGGAGCCGGCTCGAGTTAAGGGCATGGCTCTGAATCGGCTCACGCGAGCCAAAAGCCAACTCTGAAGCCGTGATTAAGAATGTGCCAGAGAGAAGGGGGCACTTGGTACAGTGGGTAACATCACCTGTATGATAATGATGGTGAGGCGTCTCGTATTTGGTTGTTTTATCTGCTTGTATTTCACGGGGAGAGATGAAGGCTCGGCGCTGAAACCCTCCCAGCAATAACCTGGCAGGGATCCAAAAAACATTTCCGTAAGACTTTGCGCCAATTAAGAATTTTCATGCGTTACAACGTCGCATATCCGACCGTCGCACGTCTGCCCCGAACCAAGTAACCGCCACCCATCACCAGCTCACGCGGTGTTGGCGCACGGTGTAACGGTCATTTTTCTAAAGATGTTTCACGTTTTAGTCCTTTTCACAAACCCGTCTGCACTTTGGCCCCCAGCGACGTCAGATGTGCGACGTACCGCAATAGGATCCCACCGAAACTTCTTGAGTGTAAATAGATTTTTTTTAGTTTTTCCTCCGAAAAATATAGGAATCCTGTAGGAAACATTTTATTCCTTTTTGGGTGTTGTATTTTAGAGGGCAGGTGGGTTCTTTCGGTGACCGCCCTGGACGTTGGTGTTCGTATTTCACGGACGGCGTGTGTACATTTCACCGTTTCGTTGGGATAAGAACGGTGCCGTAGACAACTTCTCGTCGAAGGTTATACACGTTCACACACTTCGCGTTGCTCAATTACGATCGCACATTGCAGGAGGAGGATGTCACTAGACGGAGGAGGTCGTTGGCACATTCACACCAGAGCCCCGCGCAGCGGCACCACCATCGCCATCTGCGGCGCTACCGCGGGACTGGAGCCGACCCCGGGGGCAGATCACGGTTGACGAGGCCGCCGTTGAGGCCGACGTACAACACGACCACGATTTGACATCAGACCGTGGTCGTTTGACATCGGCGTCACAGCGCCTCTCATGGAGACCACCAGCTCCCGGCCGGGTTCAAGCGACTGATGACGGTTGCACAAGGTGGTCCAGATGCCTTGTGGCCCCCAATTAATTGACCCCTAACTTTTTCTGTTCCTCTTCGCTTATTCGTTTCTGTTTTAAACAAACCTTGCTTTCAAAAAAAAGTAAGTTTTTAGAGAATTAAATGGGGGGGTGGGGGGGGGTCACAAGACATCTGAAGCACCCTGTACATGCTACAGGTTGCGAGTCGTCTAGAAAGCATTGCCATTGCCGTAACATCTTGCTCAACATTTCCCAGAATGCTGTTCGGCTGCTCTCGGGAGCAGTGGGTGGTCGGTTGCGTAAGGCACTACCACTCGAGTACACGGCACCGCTTATCCGTGACCACCCTTTATAATTGCTGCCTATATCTGCTATAATCCTACGGACAAAGTCGAGGAAACATTGAGCACAAATTAAGGTGGTGGGATGGATGTTGGCACATGCTAAAATAGTTCCGGGAGCACCGTTCAGGGCTGCTCATGTTGACATGAAACGCTGTGATGCCTTTGTCTATTCCGCTTTTTGTATTGAGTTTGCCGTCCTTCCCCTGTACCTCCCATTATCGCGGTTGGCTACGTACGGTGCGAAAGAAGTTCAATGTACATGTTCGTTACCGTATTTTCCGGATTATAAGACGCTTCCAAAAAAACACATGTGTGCCCCGTGTCGATAAAGTTATACAAATCTGATCTCGCACCTCCAAATTTTGTTTTAAAATCTAGTTGTGGGGTAGGAGTGCCATGTGATAAGCCGGAGAATACGGTACAAAGTGGTAATAGTTTAGCCGAGTTGTACTTGTGATAGTGAACTTCGATTTTCTCTTCATTCTGAATCCCAACCATACGGGGTCAAGCTGTTTCACCAGTTTTTGACACATCTGGAATCCTCTAAACCTGAAGCCTGTTGCAGGATTTGGCATATGCTTCACAACAAATCTGGTTCGGTTTTTTTGTTGTTTAATTATCAGAGTGGGGTGTCACTTGACTTTTATTTGAAGGCCTTGTGGTTTTTAAAGCTTGTAACATCCGGCTAAGAGCATACCTCGCCGGTTCTAGCAAAACGTAGGACGTATGGACAGCGGCGACTCATCCAGCAGTGGATGGATCATGGCTGATGACAACGGTGACAATGATGACTCAACCTGCAAAGGACACCTGTTGTTATCCTACGCGTGCATTTCACTTGGCTCCATGATAGCACAGCCCTCAAATGGGCGAATAAAATCTCGTGGACTTAAACCGCAGCTGCCTTTTTGTTTTGCTTCATTATCACGGGCGGCTGAATCACGGGGATCAAAATGTCAACCTGCCAGCAACGAACGGCACTAAACCGAAAGGTTGAACGTTATTCTCCGGATTGTAAGATGCTCCGACAAAAAGGAAGACGCACCCCAACGCAGACCTGTGCCCGGTGTCAATAAAGCTACGCAAAGGTAAAGGCTTCAACAGAACTTTAGGGGCAAGTGCTGTCAGCGAGCAGCGCCTATGAAGGCCGGCACGGCACACGAGGGGGTCGGTGGTCAGAACCACGCCCGGCCGCCTTTGTGTCCCCAGTGGCGACGTTTAACACCGAGGCCAGAGAGGTAGTATAGTGGGAAGCAGTCTCTCTGGCCTCCGATGTTCTGTGGAGAAGGGCCATTGCCCGAAACGTGCCTATTCTGTACTTTTTTCTTGACACGGGATGTGTTATAAAACGTGGACTGTTCGACAGAACGCTTGCCTGCCTTGAGTGGGCTGGACTAAGGGAATGGCCACATGAAACCTGACTGAAAAAGCCACAGGTGTCTCGTTGACGAGACTCAAGACTTGCGTGATTAAAATTAAAAGTGCTGACTCAAGGAACGCTCAACTGCTCGGCTAACCCTAGGGCCACGTAGGGCGCGGCTGAAATCGCAGCCTTGCCTAGCACGGCATACATTCCCAGCATAGCAGCATGCCTGTGCATATAACGACAAAGATCCCACGTGTCGGCTTCAACAGACTGTTGGGAGCGAGCGCTGTTAGCGAGCACCGATGAAGGCCGGGTAGGCGCAACGATGGGGTGGGTGGTTGTGGACGGCACCACGCCCGGCCACCTTTGTCTCCCCGGTGCTGATGTGGCAGGACCCTCCTGAATAAGTCTTGAGACTCGAGAGGCAACCAAAATAACAAGGGCAATCTTTTTTCGAATTCGGTAACCCCCCCCCCCCCCCTATATTTCAAGAACCGCGATGCAATGTGAATGACGTCACAAGTCACCTCTTAAAGAGCCGCATGCGGCTCCCGAGCCGCTGGTTGCCGACCCCTGCCCTAGCTGGGTAAACGAGTTTGTGTTTACACACATACGCCGAGGTAATCATTCAGGGCTGACGCGACCCTATGGGGGGAGGGCCCAGCACCGGTTTAAATATTCGCCGCTGTTGTATTGCTCGTGAGCGGGAATCGAACTCGGGTGAGCCGGGTTGGGTGAGCTAAACCACAGCGCCTCCGCCCCACCCCCCACATGCACACTCAACTGGCGTACGCTCAACTCTTTTTGTGAAGTAACAATCCAACTTGGCACCTGCACACAAGCCGAATTCCTGGCTCCGTCTCACTGGTTTGATCACCCCCCTTTTGGCTGCCAATCCGTCAAAATTCTTCGCCATCGTCCCTTGTAGCCACGACACACAACGCCTCCATCAACATCATCATCAGCAGCTGTGACCAATCCACTGCTGGATGGAGACCTCCCCAAGCTCACGATGCTGCGATATAATAATAACCCACTAACCCAGTGATTCTTAACCTTGACTGTATACGGTTAATAAATATAGGGATTGATGGAACAAACTAGTTGTACTTACGTGCCCGTGCTTAAATTGTGTTTCGATGATTTACCTTCTAAACAAAATCTGGCCATGTCTCGCACCCCCAGAAAGGGCATCTCGCACCCACAGAGGGAGCGTGTACCCCAGGTTAAGAAGAACCACTGCACTAACCCCTCGCGGCCTAGCTGCATCCACATACACAACGCTGGATTATAGGCCACGTGCGTATCCACCACCGCTCCGTTACACTCCCTGTATTTGTAGCGGTCCACGTGAGTGGCAATCAGTCACAGCTGTAACTATCGGATGTTCGGTTCGGTCTTATACCAAGTTCAATATCTCGTTTCCATTTCGGAGGCTATCAGCAAACGCCAGGCTGTGATTAAAATGAATAACATTTGAGACACTCGATAATATGACTTCAGCACAAAAGAATAACACTTCACTTGCAATTCTGCTCCGCGCAAAGAAACGCCCCGAATCGCCGTGCACCACTCAACCAAGACGGCTCCTCAACTTAAACAAATAATCTGGTGACGTTGCTGCTGCATTGGCAGTGGTGCAAAAATAAACAACAGCAACGACAATAGAAAACGCAACGCATTCATCAAATAACACCGCGGCCTTAAAATAAAGAAAAATGCTTAAACAAGGCGACAATTTTTTCGGCAACGATCATCTTTGTTTTCATGCGCTATACACAAAAAGGGCCAAAGCCCCCCAAACGTTTTGCTGTAACGCTTTTGTGGGGGGACACGAAGCAGTGGGGGGGGGGAGGAGGGGGCGCCGGGCACAACGCAAACCACCACCGCACCTCCGATTAGCACGGTTGGCTACGTACGGCGCGAAGACGTAAAAACAAAAACAAGATCCCCCCCCCCGTGTAGCCTTGACAGACTGTTGGGGCAAGTGCTGTTAGCGAGTAGCAGCACCTGTGAAAGGCCGGAACGGGTTGGGTGGCCAGCATGACGCCCGGCCGTCTTTGTCTCCCCAGTGGCGACGGTTACAAACCGCACCAGGTACTCATTTGAGGCTGAGTCGACCTAGGGGAGGCCTAGGACCGGTTCAGATAATCCGTCACTGGTGGTGACCGTGAGCGGGGAATCCAACCCGGGTTGCTGGGTCCGTAGCGCAGTGGGCTAACCGCTTCGCGACGTACGGTGCGAAATAAGTCCAACGTAACACATACAAAGCAAACGCTCGGGATTCCAAGCAGCTCGAGCGGGGCCCAGGATTCGAGATTGATATGGGAGCGGACAACAAGCAGCAAAACAGCAAAGTTATACAAATACAAAACAAATAGAACCTCTCAAAGTTCCTCATTGTGAACATTTTCTCGTAACAGAAAAAAAACTCCATCAATATAATAGGATGACGTTTCAGGGAATGGGCCGGTCTCTGCCAAATGCTCTCTTTCCAAAGATTAACCAAATTCCCGTCTGCGAAGGTGTAACATTACCTGCAATGCCGGCCAATTACTGCGTCAATTCTATTCAACAACTTAATTCTATAACATTCTATTCTGGCGCATGACTGCCGAGAGATGCCAGTATCGAGGTCCGCCCGCCACGACGAAGAGAGGATCTTCACGAGAGAGAGAGAGAGAGTTGGTGTCGTGTTTGCTGTTCCTCCTCCTCCGTTGAAGAAGCGCACACCACAGCTGCACGCCACGTGGGTCCGTACCTTGGGCTGCACGGCCACAATCGCACTGCTGTGGGTCGCCGACAAATGGCAATAGGCGATGTTCACGATGGATGTGACGAGTGTACTCAACTGTGTGCTCGTGCATTGCCTTAAATGTTTGTTCAAGCAATAGGGATTTTTTTATTTCAACGGTTTCCATTAAATAAGTGTCATTCGAGCGTTATTTTGAACGATCGCTGCGTTGGAGATTGGACACTATGCCACTAGGGGGAGCCAATACAATGTAGAGATCGCCTTTTCAAGCTTCCCGGCGCGGCTCTTGAAACAACAACGGGGCACGTTTCTCAAATCCCTCCCGCCTCTGTCTCCCCAGCAGCGTACTCAAGACTAGGATTTCATTTCAGCTCGTAAGGCCCACTGAGCCGACTTACAACATGGGTACACGCAAGAGCCGTCCCTTGGGTACACGACTATTAGGGGCGGCTGCCCCGGGCCCCTGCGCTTTGGGGGGGGGGGGCGCTTCGACGTCACAGTGTCATATGGAATGCTACCGGTTCAGTTTGAAGTTTGGCCTACTCGTTCACGTCTTGGTAGAGGTCAAGATCATGGAGGGGGGGGGCCCACACGGTGGGATTTGCCCCCCCCCCTCCCCATGATGTTGACCTCTACCAAGACGTGAACGAATAGGCCAAACTACCCTCGGGTGAATATCTCTCCTCCAGCAGTGGCAGGAGAATGAAATATACAGGGCTGTGATCGCACTGCCCTCCACACACACGAAGATCTCTCTACTCTGAGAGAAATTATCTTCGACAGCACCTATACCCCCTGCACCCCCACCCCCAGTCTAGCTGTGTGTACCCTAGGGGCACAGGACCCCACCCCCAGTCTAGCTGTGTGTACCCTAGGGGCACAGGACCCCCACTCCCAGTCTAGCTGTGTGTACCCTAGGGGCACAGGACCCCCATCCCCAGTCTAGCTGTGTGTACCCTAGGGATACAGGACCCCCACCCCCAGTATAGCTGTGTGTACCCTAGGGACACAGGACCCCCACTCCCAGTCTAGCTGTGTGTACCCTAGGGACACAGGACCCCACTCCTAGTCTAGCTGTGTGTACCCTAGGGGCACAGGACCCCCACTCCTAGTCTAGCTGTGTGTACCCTAGGGACACAGGACCCCCACCCCCAGTCTAGCTGTGTGTACCCTAGGGGCACAGCAGAGGATTGCGTGGCCAGCACCACGTCTGATCAATGTTGTCTCCCCAGTGCCGGTGTTTACACTGCCACCAGGTACTGTAACTCATTTGAGGCCGAGATAACTTAGGGGAGGCCCAGGACCGGTTCAGGTGTTGTGGCCGTGAACGGGAATCGAGCTCGGGTCGCCGGGTTCGTAGCACTCGCTGACACGCGCAAGCAAACACCGTGCGAAGTTAGGATAACACTGCCTGTGCAGTTGTTATGGCGAGGGACGGAAGCACCGCAAGCCCTGGTGAGACTCGTTAAAATCCCAACCCGTTAAGGCTGTCAAATGAATTACCCAAAGAGCCTGCGGTGAGATACCAATCATCCCCTTCGAGATGTGAAGTGTAACCGGCGAGTCGGCATGACATTCTGGAAAACGCGTGACACTGATTTCAATGGACAAACTTGGCTCAATTTTCACCCCCGGCAATGATTTTACTCATCTGAAAAAAACCGACGTTTATTTGCACCCAAAATACCACGCTATTGTCTATCCAGACAATGAACGCCGTAGGCCCGGGCCTTCAGGGGTGGAAAATCAGGGTGGCCCATCCATGACGCAAAACTGCGTGGGGCGTCAGAAACATACGGGTACACATCACTTCATAATTTGTACTCAACTTCAGAGATACTCACACCTCACCGTAGATATCTCCGCAGCAGCGAGACTCACAATCCTCTCCTCTCCATTAACAAGAATTGACATTTGTGAAAATGGCGCGTTTAATCCGTAGATCCCAATGCGCCACCATGTATGGAAAGCCGGGAAATAAACAGAACCTGCAGGGCAAAACGGCCAGAGCTAGGGGTTAAAGGACAATTTAAAGAAACTACTTTTCAAGACAAGTTTAAATGTCTGACGACTCCGATCGCCGTGTTAGCAAAGCCAAAGCGTTGTTCCAAAGCTTGGTAGCTGCACAATGGCAAAATCCCGATCAGCGCAGGAAATTTTCATTGACCCCGGAATACTATACCAAGGACTAGAACCCTAACTGAACTGGAAGCTCCCGGCACGTGCAGCGAAACGTCGGACACCGGGGCGGACGACATGGGGTTCAACTTGAAGGCCTATCGGGGAGCTGCACATCAGCACAACCGCGACAATTTGCACAGTAGGTGAACGCTAAATAAGGTGCTCGTTAAAATTAGGCACACCTTGCAATATCTGCACCATCTCCCAGATGTCGTTGGCCCATGAGCTGCTTATCTGTGACCCAGTTTAAACGTTAACGCGAGGGTCACATTACGAATAACAAATGGCCAGAGGGTTATTATCAGAGGAGTACTCAAGCAAGTGGCACAAAATCATTTGATCTCCCAGGACACCAATTACGTTGAGGCCAGGCCTGGTAGGGTCAATCGTCAACAGGCATTCCGGTTCGTGTTGTCCGCTCAATCACCTTTGTGGAAAAATATTTCAACTGAGACAGCTTCCGTCAACATCCATTGTTGAATATATGACGTCCGGTCCAATCCTGGTCGTCCTACTTCTATGCGTTAGGTAAATAAAAAAAAACATTCGAATATTCATGTGGGCGATTGGGATTTAAGCGGGAATAACTCAACTGTCGTGGGTAATTAAAGATCACACCAAGACGATGCTTCTTTCAAAACCGGAGTGTTCGGTAAGGAAGCAGCCAAACAACCCAAACCAGGAATCTCCTGAAAACGAACCTTGGCGATTCGGCGACGCGTTTTATTTTTGCGTGGGCAAACTTACTCAAGTGTACGAAAGTGCGCACGGTGTTCGTCAATGCGTTTTTGTTGCCTGTCCTTAATTCGCCGCGTGCAGTGGGGAGAGGGACAGAGGCTGCCTGGAAGCGAAGCCTCCTGAGCCGCTCTGCATGCCGTTACCTCTCCGAGCAATGAGCGCGGAACGAGTTGGGCCAGGGATCATTGGGGTTTATTAGTAATTAATCGGCATTTTGCGACCCCCACTGCCAATGTGTAGCATATAATTTTGTGCCAGGGACTCTATGAGATGATAGAACAATAGTCTGAGTCCATAATTGGCAATAAGTAATGGCAAAGCAGTTATAAGTGACTCAGAATTGTGCGCAGTTGCGTATCCAGTACACGACTTCCCTGAAGGCATCAACACCTTCAGCGAGCGCGATGCCGATCACACAACGCGGTTCCAATTCGACCCTCGATCGATGGCTGCACCATCGCCGCACACGCGTCGAATAAAAAGCAAGGGACAAGTCCTTACTTACTAACAACTCCTTACTTACTAACAACTCCTTACTTACTAACAACTCCTTACTAACAACTCCTTACTTACTAACAACTCCTTACTTACTAACAACTCTTTACTTACTAACAACTCCTCTATCATTTTTCATTGCCAGGGATCCGGGGGCCCTGGGGATGTAATTCGCCTTCTTGTTTCTTTCGTTAAAGTAACTTAGGCAGAAAATAAAAAAAACATAATAAAAGCAAACATTTATTTAGTATTTTTTTTTATCTACGTGACTTTACCTAAAGACCCAAAAATATGAATTTCCTGCAGTCACGAAAGTTTAAAGTCAAAATGTATGTAATTCGTCCTCAAGGGCCGAGAGAGAATTATTCTACAACAGCGGCAACGGCTGAACGGAATCACACGGAGGACTCTCGCGACAAACTTCGCAACGCGATCCGAAGACTCGTCTTGGGAGAGGTTAAGCCCGAAAATTATGTGATCTCGTTAATACCAGCGGCCGCCCTATTAAGATTAAAAGTATATATCGTAGGCGATGTTTCAGGGCAATGGCTGGTAGGGGCACGTCAGTCGGGGCAGCGTAAGAACAATCTTGACTTAAATCTTTCGTGACTGCAGGAGTTCATATTATTTGGGTCTTTCGGTAAAGTCACGTAGAACACGTTTTTTTTTTACAAAAAACGACGACGTTTCGATCGCAACGCAATCAATCGTCATCAGTAGTTTTTTTGTAAAAAAAAATTAGTTCTACGTCACTTTACCGAAAGACCCAAAGAATACGTCAGAACAATGTTGTGTTGTTACACCCTTCACCACCCGACACAGCCAGTTAATGAACCAACGTGTCACGATGTTGTTAGGCTTCAACTGCACCATGGGTAATGTTGGAGAGCAATGTGCTGTGTGTTGTTATTGTTATTGTGTGTGTGGTGTTACTTTTAGATATTAGATGTAATAATGTATTATTATCAAGACATTTTGATAATCGTGATAATTGTAACCGTTTGCCATTTTTTTTTGTTTCGAGGGTTACCGATAATTCAAAGAGATCATCTAAACCCAGTTAGTGATTCATTATCAGTGACCCATCACTTTCAGAAATCCATCCTCATCCATCACCGACGTCAATCACCCACTCATTATCTCGGTCATCAATCATTGGACACCGTGTCCAAGGAACTGCCTGAAACTCGACCGTTCGCCAAAGACAAATATCTCCCCGTTCCTTCCTCATCTTCTCATCTTCCGTCCGTCTCTCTCAAAATCTCCCGCCCTGTCCACTCACAATACTTAAAGGCTGCCCCGCGACACCGTCTTTTCAGGTGCCCTTCACTTTGGATCCTCTTGCCTCCATCTCCAACTTAAAAGTTTCATCTTGGCAATCGTTTTTTTGTAAATACGATTAGAATTCCCGTAGCCTACGTTTTACAGCCGCGGAGGGCATCTCACCGCCACTTATGTCCTCTCCCTCCCCACCACCACCCTCCCCCCCGCAAATGTGTGCAGATACTACTGACTCTATTGTATGTAGGGTGTTGTAGGCATATGTGCCGAACAAAATACATTTATTTTTGGAGGAGGGGGGGGGGGGTGAAATATGTTGTGGGAGGGGACGACAGTTGTTGTAAACCTGTTGGATCAACCTTTTTGCCCCCACATCTGGTGTGGAGGGGGGGGGTCCACTTTGTATAACTTGTTGATTCACGCCTTCTGAAAGGCTCTTATAATTTTGTTGACAAACAGACAAACGGAACGCCGGGCTTTTGTTAATGATGGAATGTTAACATATCGTAAAATTATAATTAATTTCCGTGTGGTAGTTTTTTTTTTATCATTTGAGCAACCTCACCCAGAAGGCAGCCGAACTCTTCAGAGAATAGAAGCGAAGTAGGTTTGAGCCTGGATTATAAGTGCTTGGTTGGGTTATAAAAACAGGTTGCTATAGGCTGCTGCGAGCCTACGTGTTTGTCAGCAGAGGGCAGTGCAGCAAAATGTATTTTAAACTTAATTCACACTATACGTAGCCAACCATGCAAACATACAAGGTGGCTATATTGTTGGGTCTTTCGGTAAAGTCACCTAGATAGATCAAATAAATAATAATACTATCACGACGTTTCGATCGCAACAAGCAATCGTCATCAAGTGAGACATATCGCGGGAGAGATGCTGAGAATATATATTCTGGCTTTACCGAAAGACCCAAGAATATGAATTCCTGCAGTCACGAAAGCTTTAAGTCAAAATGCAAGGTTGTCCAAAAGTCATGACGTATTAACAAATTACGTTGGCTTATTGAATTTATCTTAACAAATGTTCAAATTGACTTCCGTTAACATTAATGCGTGCACGAATTTTCCTTTATAAAAATAAATGAAGGACTTTTATTTTTAGCATACAGGTGTCCATCTTTGAACATTCATCAATTATCATCCAGGCTTCTCGGTCGAGTTTTGTAAATGTCATCTAAAAAGGAAGAAGAAAAATACATATACCAATAACGATCATAGATACAGTATTAACTTAAAGAATTCACAATAGCAATAATGTTAAAGCCAGTGTTAAAATAAAATAAATAACCCTATGTGTCACGACTTTTGGGCCACCGTGTACATTGTGTGCTCTGTCATCTATGCTCCCCGCCTTCAACCCACAGTGGTCAGGGTGGCGAAGTCGGGTCAAATAACCCCCATGATCCACACGCTGTGGGGTGGCCCTCATCCAGCAGTAGATCGACAAACGTGACCATAGGTGTGCAATTTTTTGTGCATTAAATGTACACCATTGTCAAGTATGAACCTAATACGTATGTTTAACTTCTTTCGCACCGTACGTAGCCAACCGTACTAATCGGAGGTGCTTGTGTAAGGACAACAAACTAAACACAAAAAGCAGTTCTAAACAAATTCATTTTCAATTAGGTAACAGGCTCTTTAAAGTACTTGTACAACGTGCCCTTCAGTCAACGAGTGTTCAAACGCTGCGGCTCTGCCGCATGCAAGTTTCCGAAAGCTCCAAACCACTGCTGCATTTCGCGCTTCCTTGCCTTGTCGTAACCACTCACACCGGTCACCGCCAATTCCAATGAACTTACACGCTGTGCCGGTGTCCTCAGCGGCGGGATCACAGGTGAGACGGCGCGCGTGCGTGCAACAGCGAGCGCCGCTACGGCGTCGGCGATGATGAAACGGAGGCGCGCGCAAAAAAAAAGAATGAATGAAACACGCGCGCCTTGGAGAGGTCATCGTTTGGCACATTTTTTTTCGTCGACCCTCCGGTATGTTACTCGGTCGGGGCAAGAACGAGCCACCTCAAATTGGACCGCTCGCCACCGCTAGGCGATTTCAGATTTTGTTTTGTTCAAACATTATTTATTTCTTCCACAGAAGGCGTTCTCCTGCCCGTGCGACCCGTACGATGGGCGCAAGCACCAGCATGGAGGTGCCACCACTTCCTGCCGCCCTCCTGCTATTTAAATGGCCAGCGGCCAGGCCGATGCCGCGAGTGCACCACAGAGGCACCCCCCCCCGCGACAAGATCACCTGTTGCTGAGCACTCTCCCTGAGACCACCGCCGACACCACCACCACCACCACCAACCAACCACCATCACCATGGCAGTCGTGGCGTTCCGGGCTGGGTTCCATCGGACCATGGACAGGATTGAACTCATCCTGCCGCAGAAATTCCGGCCGATTTGGAGACACCCCGCAGGTAAGGTCGCGGTCGGTCGGTAAAAACGCCACAAGAACAAAAAAAAACGATGGCCCGACCGCCGAGGTAGCCGCTTGGGCTCAGAGGTCAGAGACGCTGAGCCTGACACAGCTGAGTTTCTGGGATTCCCATCCAGGTTACAGCCACTGTCTATGGTTAAGCGGGGATATCAACGGCAGTGGGTCAGGATCCGTTAGTAAACCGGGAGACGGACTTAAGCCGTCGATAATAAACCCGTCGACACCTGATACGTTGCCTCTGTTGACCGGGCGAGCTGGGAGTGCAGTTGCTGGTCTCAGCCCAGTCGCCAATGACTGGGCACACACTCGAAGAACAAAAAAACCCGTCGCAATAAAAATGTTGGTTTTGTGCTTACTTTGGCGAAATTACAGCGCTGAGAATTTAAACATGGGTCTGATTGTCGTGCAACAAATATTACTTTCTGTGGCAGAGTGCGAAGGGAAGTACTGCTTCATACTGTGTGGACCCAGAGGTCACTTAAAGTGATTTGAGAGGTAGCTCTGCAGTATCCACTTCTGTGATCCGTCGCCAAACATGAATTATTGCACGGTGAGCGTGAGTGCAATCACCAATTCGGGGATTGCATCAGACGTATGTATATTTATTTACAGAAATCATTGACATTAACTCTTATCTATTACACCTTCAGTCGTGATTTTGGTGACTGACCTGCTTGGCGTTTTTGGCCTTTTGACCTTTGTGCTCAGCAACAGTGATACAAAAAGACAACAACCCAAAACTGTCTTGTAACTCCAAAAAATACATTTGACCAGCACACATTTTGGTGGTTCACATTTTATTAAAATTTTCGATGGCTTGTTAAATATGACGGTGGTAAAATATTCAAAGATCTGAATTGACTGATAGACCAGGGTGGAGTGTTGCATTATTACGTTGTTTTCTACCCGTTGCGTGTGTCGATACATGCTCACGGTGATTGCATTGTCTGTGAGCTGTGTTCTGCGTAAATTTATCGGTAATATGGAATGACGGGAGTGCATTTGTCACGCAGCAAATGCACAATGCTCAGATCCGTCATGAGGAATTTAAAAGTATGGCTCTGCAAACATTTTCAAAATTATAATTATATTTCAATAATAATAATTACAATTGTAGACAATTCTCAATCCACCAATGCGTGAAGGTCGTGTCGGTCACTGGCTTTTTATTTACCATACTTCACCACACTGGTCAGTGCGAGTTAGTGAAGGCGTGGACCGGTTGTGATATCACTCTCCACCGATGTTAGTCGTGGTTAGGAATCGAACTCGGGTTTGCCGGGTTCACAGCGCGTTGCGCCAACCACTGCCACCACGGCTAAACTCCTTTATTAATCATCTTTAATTGGGTCGCAATGTTTTCGTGAAACCAAGGGCTATGCGGTCACCATATTAATTAAATGTGCTACTCTTAAACTGTCCAAGATAATTGCGTGTTCAAAAAGCATAGCCCCACAATAGCACATATTCGGACAAGTTTACGCAATTTATTAATTTCTTTGACTTGAGATTTTTGCAATGAATTTAATTACTGTTAAAACGTTTACAATTTCGGGGGCGGGGGAGGCATAGTGGTTCGGCACGCTTTGCTTTGAACCCAGCGACATGAGCAGACGAGTGGCTGAGTGATTGCTGATCCGGTCCTGGGCCAGACTCGCCCTTGTATTGACCGGGCGTGGTGAAGCATGGTCCAACAACCTCCATGGCTGACACCATAGCGGTGACATTCGTCAAGCAGTGGATTGACACGACAGTAAATAATTTATGCTGTATTTTATTATATATTATTTACTCTTGTATTCCGTTACTATTTTGTCAGCTTAGAAATGTTGAGAGATTTAGAAACTCAGGAAGAACAGACAACGCCAGCGCTCAATTTAATTGGGAACCGCGGATTTGATGAGTACAGCGGGATCCATGAGACTCTCATGAATGCCGTCAGACTCTTGTCATCTGTTGCTTCGCATATTCCGTATGAATGTATGTATGTTGAACTTATTTGTGACTGGACGTAGCCAACCGTGCGAATTGGAGGTGCGGGGGAAGGACAACTAAAGACAAAACGCAGATGTAAATAAATTAGTTTTCAATCTAGATGATTTAAAAGCGCACAGTTCCAGTGACTTCCTGATATTGGAAGGAAGAGCGTTCCACACGGTCGCAGAAAAGCATCTGAAAGCGGGCGCTGCAGTGACCGTTTTTGTTCGACGGCTACTTTGCATTTTGGTTGTCTGACAAATGTGGTATCCGTGCAGATTTTACAATTGACATTGCGTACAAGCAGCGTGTAAGTCCTCTCCGACGCGCTTTCGGGGGTTCTTTGGCGTGATGTCCGACGTTTCGCTTCACCTGCGGGAAGCTTCTTCAGGAAATGAGTTCGTTCTGCGGGTAACTCAGTTCCTGCAAAAGTCTCCCGGGGAACGGAGCAAAACTACGGACGCCATGCCGAACGACACGCGGCACGACCCGAAAACAAATCGGAGAGCGGTGCAGCTCAACCGCAAAGCTCCACGCAATTGGAAATGCACGCACATACGTACACACCAACTCACACACACATACGTACACACCAACTCACACACACATACGTACACACCAACTCACACACACATACGTACACACCAACTCACACGCACATACGTACACACCAACTCACACACACATACGTACACACCAACTCACACACACATACGTACACACCAACTCACCCACACATACGTACACACCAACTCACACACACCATACGTACACACCAACTCACACACACATACGTACACACCAACTCACACACACATACGTACACACCAACTCACCCACACATACGTACACACCAACTCACACACACATACGTACACACAAACTCACACACACATACGTACACACCAACTCACACACATACATACACACCAACTCACACACACATACGTACATACCAACTCACACACACATACGAACACACCAACTCACACACACATGCGTATACACCAACTCGCACACACATACGTACACACCAACTCACCCACACATATGCACATACCGACTCACACACACACGCACGCACGCGTTTCCTTTGCCAATTTCATTTCTAGGAAAGCAGAAAACTAAATTGAGCAACGTCAATTTTACAATGGGATTTGATTTCCCGAATGAAAATAGATAATTTGCGAGGAAATTGCCCCGGCGCGGGAGTTTAAAAGTAAAAGCCGAGGATTCTCATCTTGCAAAACACGGGGTGCAAAATATCTCACTCGCTGCTCGGGTAGAATGAACAAATCCCATTTGGCCGAGAATAGCTCTCGTAATTACGTAGCAAGAAAGCAAAAAAAAAAGAAATCAATGCATGGCATTTCTGTTAAATGTGACTCTCGCAAAAAAATGTCCTATTAGTAAAGCGTAATAAAAATGTATCGATTAAAATGGGAAATTAACGTTTTTAACATTCGCACAGTGGAAATGTCACTTGCCCTTCAAATGGTAAATCATTAGCCCTTCGAGACATTTCATAACCAGCGAACTGCTTGTCCCCCCCCTCCTTTGTGCCAATTTAAACGGTGACAATTACTTGGCGGCCGGCTGCCTACCACGTGGCCCAGGTGGGGGAAGCAAGAGCGGTTCGCTGCGCTTGAACTCTGGAATTCGGAAGAAAAAAAAGCTTTTGAAACAAAGCCAAGTTCTAATATTACCCCAGGAGCCACCTTTAAACCCCGACTCTAGTTTAAGCGGGCAAGGGCCTGCCGTCAGGCGGGTCAAGTTTTACCTGGAAAGGAAATCAGCTGTTCCAGTCCGTGCGAGGCGTGAAGACATCTGTAGCAAAGGCAGTTTGGTCCGGAGAAGAGCATTTAGATTGTTGTGGGGTTTTTGTCAGGACAAGGGGTGGGTGCATTTTTCGGATTGAAGACATTCCTAAAGGGGGGTTGGTTTTTTTGTTCTTTGTTTCACGATGAAGAAATTTAAATGTTATAAATCAGCTGTTCCAGTTCGTGCGAGGCAAGAAGGCGTTCTTTAGCAAAGCCAGTTTTGTCCAGGCGATAATCTTTGATTGTGTTGGTTTTTTCAGGACAGGCTGCATTTTTTGGATTGAGGACATTTCTGAGTCTTTTTTTGTTTGTTCTCTGATGCAATAATCAATATATTAGAAAATCTTACGTTAGTCATATTCTTTGGTCTTTCGGTAAAGTCACGTAGATAGGTTCAAATAAAATAATACAAAATAACAAAAAACTACAACGTTTCGATCGCAACACGTCTTCAGGAAAAGTTTTTTGTTATTTTCTTTGAACCTATCTACGTGACTTTATCGAAAGACCCAAGAATAGGAAGTCCTGCAGTCACGAAGCTTTAAGTCAACATTTCTTACGTTAGTCATCTGCCAAGTGGCAGATATTTGGCACAAACTCCCTCTTGAACTTGATTGCTCATTTAATCGTTAGCCCCTCCTCCTCCTCCATCTCCTTTTCTTCAAGTCGTCAAAGCAACATCTTCCTCTCCCTTCCTCTTGAACTCTCTCTCTTCAACAACCCCTGGATGTTTTATCGTCAAGGGTTCACATCTGAGGACGTGCCCAACCCACACCGTTTTCCCTGCCAGGGTTTTGTGCCGATATTTTTCTCTCACGCGCTGGTTGCTGATCGGTAATTCAATTTCCAGTAAGGAGATAACGGGCAGATTCTCTTCGCCGTTTACAAACTGTTTTTTTTTTCTTCATGGTTGTGTACGTGAAGATATTTTACCCACACCGTGTATTATTAAATGTAAGTTTACGTTCACTCAAGAGTTGAAACCAATCATCACCATCATCACCATCATTAACCATGATAACATGATAAATACACTGCTGGGTGATAGCCTCCTGGCTATCACCCAGCAGTGTATAGCCTCCTGGCTATCACGAAATAAAGCTTATTTTTAATCAGTACATTACATTTGCTTGTACATATTGTAACTAATTGAAGTACTTAATATCCACATGCAAATATTTGTGTCGTTTGATAAGTAAAATCATGCACATTTTCAGTTAACAGTTGTATAATCAGTAAAAAAAAACCCACCAAATTAATTAAACTTATGAATATTGTGTTTTTAGGTCCCAAAACAGTCTTCTTCTGGGGCCCAACGGTGAAATGGGTACGTGTGTGCACCGCACGAATCGCACATTCACGCACGCTGGCGGGGTGGTGTAATTCGCATTGCCATTTAAACCATACCATGGTGGACAAACTCTGAACGTACCTAAACATCAAATGACATCATTGATGCTCTTGGAAATTCATGCTGTGCGTGTGAGGCGATGTCAGTTCTGTGGTGTTTTACCCAATTCAGTCAAATTGGGAGAGCGATTTCTAATTCGGACCGTGACGCCAACTCTGTTACAAATGACATCACGGGATCTTTGACTCCATGTGTGAAGCGGACGAGTTAATTCCACAGCGCAATGTTCATCAGGAGAGGCTCCTTTAGCTCCCATTCGACCTCTCTGGTCTCTCTAAATGCTCTGCAGAAGGGACATTGCCTGAAACGTCACCTATTATATATACACGGGACTTTATAAGGCCACGGCGTTATTGACAAACGTGTTCGCATTTTTGTTTGGTAATTGTTTTTGGTGCACCACTGTTAACACAGCAGCATTTAGCACTCAAGCTATGCGTTTGGCATTCTTACATTTTCATCGCTGGCAGTTATAATCCCCTCCCCCACAGCTGCCAAAACTAAACACACAACAAAGCAATTACATAGCTGGAGGTTTTTTTAATTGTTGTTCAAATCACACGTAGAAAGATGCAATCAAACGATCAAGATTCACATGCAGAGGGCTAAACAAAACTACATTTAAAAGAAGCCGTACAAAACGGCGTGGGACATGGGCATCCCGCCCCCCCCCCCCCTACTCGTGTACCGTGATCAGCATTCACAGGCGCCCACTAGCTTCGCTTGCACCAACAGCTTCGTTAAAAGGCTACACGGTGGGGGATCTTTGTCTTTGTACTCAAGCAGCGTGACAGTTCGATCGTTCAGTGCGCCGTGAAACACGTGGGCGGTGAGGTGCTCTGTCTTGTCCCAGTGCTAGAACGCCGTGTCACTATGTCCCCCTCTGTCTCTCTCCATTTGCCCAGGGGCTGGTGTTCGCCGGCATGGCGGACATGGCACGACCGGCTGAGAAACTCAGTCTGTACCAGAACTCGGTGCTGGGGCTCTCAGGTAAGGCCCGACCTGGCTTCAAATCTTCATCATCATCACCACCGCCCCCCTCCCCACCACCACCTCAGGCTGCCATCACCACCTCCATGTATGTACGTTGAACGTCTTTCGCACCGTACGTAGCCAACCGTGCTAATCGGGAAGGTAAGCTCCGGGAGCGACGATCAGGACTTCATTTAAACGCGTCACGTCTCTTACGCAGACTCACTCGCGCAGGAAAACGCGGTGGGCAGAGTTCACTTGAGCTGTCGATTGTACGCAGCCAAACACCGGCTCTTCACCAAAGCTCTCTCCCCCCCCCGTTCACCGGCCGCTACTTGACGCACGTTCAACTTCTTTCGCACCGCGCGTAGCCAACCGTTGCCAATCGGAGGTGCCGGTCGCGTTTGGCTAAACGTTGGCGGGATCTGCGGGTCTCTCTGCCCGCCGTCATTACGCGGTCGAGAAACGTCGAGACGCAACGGAGAAGACAACTTTTGAAAGCGTCGCAGCAAAAAAAAAAAGACGCGCCCACGGATGCCACGTGCGCTCGGAAATATTTAACAAACAGAGAAAAAGAAACCGACGCGGAAAAAGTTGACGACGCGCCCAGCGCGTTGATTGTGAGAGCGCACGCTGGTTGATGACAAAAGCGTTCGCACGGTTGGAGAAACGTGAGCTGAAGCAATATAAAGAACGAAAGTGTCCTGTCGAGTTGACGTCCTCCGTGGAAGCGTCTCCATCCCTCGGCCGCTCACCCCGCCGTTCCTTCCAGCCACGAGTCATGCCCAAGCCCCCATTTGATTTATTATTATTATAATCTCGTTATTATTTGACTCAGCTTGTTCACCCCGGGAAAGACTCATCGAGTCTCAAGATAATTTTTCAGGCGGGTGCAGCCAAGCTTTTGCAGTAGGCGGGGAGGGTGGGGGGTGTTGTTGTTGTTGTTGTGTAATCCCAATTGTGTAATTTTGCAAGTAATCTTTCAGCATTGGGATGCTTTAGCCAACTCCAGTTACAACAGTCTACGTTTGTTATTATTATCATCTATGGCAGGAAACATAAGCACCCGGTGGAAACCCATTCCTAACAGGGGGGAGAACACGCAAACTCGGTACACCACACAAAGCCGCCCGAGTTGGGAATCGAACCCAGGCCCTTCCTGCTGCGTTCGCACCGCCGCCCAATAGTGACGCGATGTCTCCTTTGTGCCTGTGCAGGGTTCCTGTGGTCACGGTACTCCTTCGTGATCATCCCCAAGAACATCAACATGTTCTGCGTCAACTTCTTCCTGGGCTGCTGTGGAACTGGCCAGCTGATCCGCATCTTCAAGTAAGTTCCACTCCAACAGACCCCGCCTACACCAGGGGCCTGGGGGAATCTACGGTAGACGGGCTGCTGGACGTGGCCCACCACTTCGCTTGATACCAGCGGAGATGGCCCCTACGCTTGTCCTTGAGACGTATCTTCTAGAGAATGGTTCGCGGAAACGGACATAACAGAGCTACCTCTGAGCTCGCTGCTTTAAGTGATCTGTGGTCCTTACAGTAGTGGGGAGCGGTGGGGGGGGAGGCATAATTTTTCTATCCGCTCTGCTGTACGACGAGAACAATATTCGTCGCGTGACGATCACACCGCTAATTTAATTATCAGAGCTGGAATTTGGCCAAATTAAACGCAGAACTGAAGCTAAATGTCATCGTAGTTTTTTTTAGCATTCTTTGTTGGTGACCTTGCTGAGACTATCAAACTTCACCGCATTTCAAACCCCAGTTTGATCACAGGCAGTTGCTGAAATCCCCGGATTAGAACTCACGATCTCAGTGGTGCTGGCTCAACGCTCTGATCTCCGAGCCAATTAAGTTGACCTCACGTCCGACCTGACGGTGAACCGAGTCAGAGCGTGTGACCTCCATCAGTGTTCTCGTGGCAACCTTGCGATCCAAGCACTGCCATGGGTCACTGCTGCAGAGCGTTGCGCTGCCCTTTAATGCGGCTACTGCTGCCCAAGTTCACCCCGGGCTTTGCATGGGGCAGTGTGGAGGGCACTTCATGTGTGCACACTCGTGTGTCCGTGTGTGTGTGTGTGAAGTGTTTGTGTGTGGGGAGCGGTAGTGCAGTGGTTAGTGCGCTGCGCTACGAACCCAGTAACCCGGGTTCGATTTGCGCTCACGGCCAACACGGTGATAATTATCTGAACCGGTCCTGGGCCTCCCCTCGGTCGACTCAGCCTCAAATGAGTATCTGCTGCAGTGTGTAGATATCGCCATTATATAGGCATCCCATATAACTTGCCCCACAAGTTTGTTAAGGCTATACGGGGGATCTTTGTCCTGTGTGTGTGCATCTACCAGTCATATCAGGCAGTTCCCACATACAAGCTGGGTCTGTCCGGTGACCTCCTGTCAGCGAGCCTTAAACACTTCACAGGGCCTCAAAGCGCACCTAGCCTGGCACAAACGCTGTGGTGATATCACCGCTACTGAGTGGCGAATGGTGACTGTTGTTTTTATTGCGGGTTGTGCTCGCTTTAGCCTCGGGTAGAGCTCACTGATCTTTGTGGCACAGACAAATGTATAGCCATGTACAGCCATACAGATTAACACGTCGTAGGCTTTCGCGACCAATATCATCCATAATAGAGGGGTTGTTTGTGGGTTATATCGCGTCAATATATAACGAAACGTCGTACTCAGATTGTAAATGTTGTGGCTTGGCTCTCCAACACACCGGTGTGCTGTATTAGTGACGAATTGGCCACGTTCTGTTTACGTGACAACCCTTACTAGTTGGCTGTGTCGGGTGGTGGCGGGTTTTAACGACACATTGATATATTTACGCGATCTAACCCAAAAAAAACCCTCTCATGAGCCATACAGATTGTTTGAGGCAAGTGCTGTAAGCAAGCACCTATTAAAGCCGGTCTTCATCATGGATACACATTAAGGCATACACGTACACAATATTTACGCAGCACATTCACACGTGTAAATAGACAAAGATCCCCCGTATAGCCATATAGACTGTTGAGGCAAGGGCTATCAGTGAGCACCTACGAAAACCGGCACGGCACACAAGCGGGATGGGTAGCCAGCACCAAGGCCGGCCGCCTTTGTATTCCCAGTGGCGATGTTTTTACACACCGCATCAGGTACTCATTTGAGGCTGAGTCACCCTAGGGGAAGCCCAGGACCAATGGCGGAGCCAGGATTTTCAGGTGGGGGAGGGGGGGGGGGCAACCCCTCCAGCAATTACAAATGATAGAGGAGTTGTTAGCAAGTAAGGAGTTGTTAGTAAGTAAAGAGTTGTTAGTAAGTAAGGAGTTGTTAGTAAGTAAGGAGTTGTTAGTAAGTAAGGAGTTGTTAGTAAGTAAGGAGTTGTTAATAAGTAAGGAGTTGTTAGTTAGTAAGGAGTTGTTAGTAAGTAAGGAGTTGTTAGTAAGTAAGGAGTTGTTAGTAGTAAGGACTTGTCCCTTGCTTTTTATTTGATGCGTGTGCGGCGATGGCGCAGCCATCGATCGAGGGTCGAATTCGAACCACGTGGTGTGATCGGAATCGCGCTCGCTGAAGGTGAATGCCTTCAAGGAAGTCGTGTACTGTATACGCAATTGTGCACAATTCTGAGTCACTTATAACTGCTTTGCCGTTACTTATTGCCAATTATGGACTCAGACTATTGTCCTATCATCTCATAGAGTCCCTGGCACGTAATAATATGCTATACAGTGGCAAAATGCCGATTTATTACTAATAAACCCCAAATGGCGCAGCGCGCTGATACCGCATCACTAACGCACACACACGTGAATACGCGCACACACGCACATCGAGACCCGTGTGTATAGCCGACAAAAAATATTCTTTCAGAAGAGCCGAGAGGGAAGGGCAGAAGAGGCGCACGAGAGAAACGAATCTGCACCTCCGGATTTCAACCTCGCGCCACTCCGCAGAAAACAATCTCATTCCTAAGCCCCACTTAGCTCGAATTATTCCAAATGTGTTATTATTGCTCATGCATAATGCATTCAGTTTAAATGCCGAGCTGGTTATTTTGTGTTTTGCTACAATTTATTTATTTAAAACATTATGTTGCCCTGAGCTATGTAAAAATATATCTATTTGCAAGAATAACAAAAATTAACACATTTGTGAAAAGCACTGCCCTAAATAAAAAATACGTTCATGCAACATATGTATGTATTTATCCAAGTTTGTAAATATATGCCTATATATTTATTAACTCTTTTTATGCACCGCTGCCAATGCAGTATCACATATTTTAAATATATATTCGATTCCACTGCTGGATGACGATCTCTCCAAGCCACCTCTTCATGGCGGTTGTTTGACCATACTTCACCACACTGGTCAGTGTGGATTGGTGAAGTGAACTGGGTGGGGTGGGTGGGACAGGGGGGAGGGGGGGGGCACAACCGGCGTCATTATTGCTCGCCACTGATGGTGGACGTGGCCAGGTTGATAGCGCAATGCACTGCCCCATGGCATCACCACCGTCATCGGCCATGATCAATCCACTGCTGGCTGGGACGAAGGCCTCCCCGAGCATCCGCCATTAAATCCTCTCATTCGAGAGCGCCGCGGCAGAATCCGTGCGTGTGCGTGATCCTCCTCCTCCACCTCCTCCCTCCTCCTTCTCCTCCATCTCCTTCTCCTCCCGCCTCCTCCATCTCCTCTTTCTCCCTCCTCCTCTTTCTCCTCCCTCCTCCCCCTTCTCCCCTCCTCCTTCCCCATCTTATTCTCCTCCTCCTTCTCCTCCTCCTCCTCCATCTCCTCATTCTCCTCCTCCTCCATCTCCTCCTCCTCCCCCCTCCTCCTCCTCTTTCTCCTCTCTCCTCCCCCTCCTCTCCCTCCTCCTCCTCCTCCCTACTCCCCCTTCTTCCTCCTCTAACCCGTCTCCTCTCCGTGCAGCTACCGGCGCTCCCTGAAGGACGGCGAGGGCGAGGGAGCGGCCACCGCCGAGGGGGCCGTGCTCGTCGTAGAGGCGGCGCCGGCCGCCGTGACGGCCGCGTCCGTCGAGGCCAAGAGTTAAAGTGACCGACGACGATGGACCGGCGGTCGGGGTGGTGCGCGACAGCCGTTCGAAGCCAAGCAACTCACCGAACAAAGCAACTTTATTTCGCCCGTGTAGATTCACCGCAGCCTCCCCCCCCCCCGGCCCCCACCCCGGCCCCCCCCCCCCTCTCTCCGGTGCGTCCGCGACGTTTTGCCCTCCAGGAGCTGGGGGGGAGCTTCTATCTGGCGCCGAAATGGACCGCTCGGTTAAGCCCTCTCCGACGATCAGAGAGGGCTTCTCGCGGCCGCCGAGTGGCTCAGAGGTCTGACATCGGTCGGCCGGTTGCCGCTCGCTTCGTCCGCCCACACCACCGGCGCAGGCCAACACGCACAGCAGCCAGCGTCGGCGCGTGCCTGTGTCAGACGGCTGAGCCACTCGGCGCCTAGCAAGGACTATCAGCGGCGGCGGCAGCAGCTGGCAACCGCTGTACGCTAGGCTAGATAAAGTGAGCCCTTCAATTCGGTTCGAACGCGCTTACTTGAAGAAGCTCCCCCGCGCGTGCCGTGGTGAAACGCCGCGGGACGCCGTGACGGGGCGACGGCGCGCGGGCAAGCGCGTACCCAACCCACGCACGTACCCAACCCACGCGCGTACCCAACCCACGCACGTACCCAACCCACGCACGTACCCAACCCACGCACGTACCCAACCCACGCGCGTACCCAACCCACGCACGTACCCAACCCACGCACGTACCCAACCCACGCGCGTACCCAACCCAGGCACGTAACCCAACCCACGCACGTACCCAACCCACGCACGTACCCAACCCACGTGCGTACCCAACCCACGCACGTACCCAACCCACGCACGTACCCAACCCACGCACGTACCCAACCCACGCGCGTCAAACTTCTTCTACCGTCGCAGCGTAACGTCGCCGAACCGCGCCAACGCCGGTGGCTGTGACCCACAGCGACCGGTCGGGGCGTCTCGCGCGCAGCGGGGGGCTTCTTTTGTTCAGTTCCCCAGGGGGAGCTCCCCGGTGCGTGGCGAGAGGTGGGGGGGGGGGGGGGTGGCGACGTTGAATGACGTCACAAACGCGGGGACGACGACGCTGCACCACGCGGCCGGGTGACGGGCGGGCGGGAGAGGGGGTTGCGGGGGGGGGTGGGCTCGAGGTTTTTGATTTGCCGGGGTCCTCAAAGGGTAGGCGGTGGTCAGCGCGGTTCACAGATCGTCCTCTCCCCTTTAAAACAAAAACAAAATCAACGTCTCCTCGTTCTCGGGACGAGCACGCCATGCCGACGACATTCGCAAAAGGACCGGGGAATTCGTTTTTGTTTTTTTAAGGGGGTGGCAGGGGGCGGGTGGACGGCAGTGAAAGGCCTACACTTCGAGCCCTGGTTCAAATCAAAGCTTTAGTTGTCTTCATGTAACGATAATTATGATGATGATGATAACGATGACGAAACTATGAAAAAAAAACAAGAACCGCTGAGCTATCGTGACGAAAACCGAGCGTGTACATTCACCAAGAGATTTGACTGTGAACTTTAATAAAGCACTCACTCTACTCGACTCCTCCACTGCTGCTCGGGAGAACGTTGGCCCAGCCGCGCGAGCGTCAAATCGTGCCTTGGTTTGCAGCTTTGGCTCGGAGATCCGCGCGCAATCTAGGATCAGTATCGTGACTTTATTACTTTATTAATCCCTTCTTTTAAAATCTCACAAACATAACTGTGGGCAGCAGAGGGCATTGTAGAGAGAGAGAGAAAAAAACCCACAATAGTTGTACTGTACTACGCAACCACATCTATGGGTCCCTGCCTTCACGAATCCGCACGGACAAGCGTGGGGTGAAGTAAGGTCCAATAACCGCCACGACCCGCTTGGCGTAGGGGATGTCCTCATCCAACAGCACACCTTCACGTGTGCATCCTCTTTATATTTTTGAACGAATATTCTCTCCGCCGCAGTGTATTGGTTCGCACAGTGGACTTGCGATCCGTAGAGCGGCGGTTCGATTCCATCCCCTGGCGCAGCAGTTTATCAACGGGACACATTTCTTAACCCCCCCCCCCTCCACCACCGCCTCTGTCAACCCAGCAGTATGCGTGGGTAAACTCAGGGCTTAATTTCTCACCCAATATTGTCCAGACTGCCGCTAGGCTGGCTTGTAGTTATGGGAACTGTCAGAAGTAAGGCACTGCCACTAGCCCAGGGGGTCGGCAACCAAAATAACAAGAAGAGCATTTTTTTGGGAATTCGGCAATAAAAAAATAAATCAATATTTCAAGAGCCGCAATGCAACGTGGTGAATACGAGACGGTGGTGGTCCTTAATAAACGACGTCACGGAGCAGTCCTTAGAGAGCCGCACGCGGCTCCAGAGCCGCAGGTTTCCGACTCCTCAACTCGACTATAATACACGCCCACGCAGAGTACGCCGATATTATTGTACCCTACGTTCTTATACCGCCTTATGATGAAGCTGTACGAACGGCTTCATCATAAGGCGGTGAGATGGATGATGGCAGGGTGCCAAAATAATTCCCGCAACATCGTTCCGGAATGTTTGCGGCTGAAATGAAGCATCGGGTACACCACAGTTCGGGCGCCGCGGTGGCTAGGAGATGTTAACTCCCTCGCCTGGTATGCAGGAGGTTGCGGGTTTTATCCCGACCCTGACGCCTGCTGTAGATTTGGAGTTTGAATGCTCTCTCTCCCCGTAGTCGCGTGGATTTTTCTCCGGGATCTCCGCTTTTCTCCTCCACATTTATAATCAACACGCGTTTAGAGTATTTGGCTGCTATAAACGTCCGCGTGATGGGCCAACTTCGTTGAGCTATCATCTGAGATGGCCAGGTCGATAATGAAAAAGAGCTATCGTGCAGCTCAGTGGGTCTTACCTGGTCAATTATAAATAGCTTAGTTTTAGTTCAGTCGATCGGTGGCGAGTGGCGTAAAGTGTGCGTACTCCAGACCTCTGGCCGGTGTGGAGGCGGAGGCCAAAATAGCCGCTGAGGAGGAGGTCTCTCGAATGTGGGCCCCTTCCGCCAGCAGCGGCGTGAGAGGACGATTGCTGGGCTGCGCCTTTAGCTCTTTAAAAAAAAATTCTGCAGACCCATTTCCCTCGTTTCTTGACACTCGGGCTGGAGATGATATCACTGCTGTGAAGGGTGAGTGTGTGAACATTGCAGAGTTCCATGCATATTTAATCAAAGAAGGAATGGGGTCCCCCCCACCCCCACCTTGTGTTATGAGGTTCACAAATCACAGCTGTTCTCCGGGTCAGTGGCTTTCTCGCTATCTAGATATTCAGTGCAATTAAATCCCTAATTACTCATTGTTATGTCATAATTAATGCAGTGCCAACCCCAACACTGTCACCACTAATCGGCCATGCGGTTAAAGACATACGACAAAGACAAAAGATGCCCCTACAGCCTTTAAAAGACGGTTGGGGCAAGTGCTGTTGGCGAGCACCCATGAAGGCCGGCAATGCACACACCAGCGGGCTGGGGTCGTCAACACCACACCCGACCGCCTTTGTCTCCCCAATATTTATTTTTAAACACTGCAACAGGTACTCATTTGAAGCTGAGTCGATCTATAGACAGTCCAGGGCCGGTTCAAACATTTATCACCCGTTGTTGGTCGTGAGCGGGAATCGAACTTGGGTCGCTGGGTTCATAGCGCAGTGCGCTAATCCGCACACAAAGACAAATGTTGCCCGTATAGCGTTAACAAACTGTTGGGGCAAGTGCTGTGAGCAAGCTGCTATGAAGGCCGGCACGGCACACGAAGCGGTGGGTGGCCAGCACCTCGCCAGTTTACTACACACCGCGCCAGGTACTAATTTGAGGCCGAGTCGACCTAGGGGAGGCCCAGGACCGGTTCAGATAATCGTCACCGGTGTTGGCCGTGAGCGGGAATCGAACTCGGGTCGTAGCGTGGCGCGCTAACCGCTCCCCTCTCAGCACACTCACACAATCGCTCATTCAGGCCAAGGTCACTCAACAGACCCTGCCGTTCATACTTCTCTGAACCCCAGACGCCTTGCCGGGCGCCGGTGTCACGCCGGGTCACGTCGCTGACGGGTTCAGGGAGACATTCACCACTAGGGGGGGCTAAAGCTGTGCGCCCACACACCGGGGAATGCACACGTCGGCAACAGGTTGAAAATCCCATGCTAATAACATTGACAAGCAGTGGTGTTCGTATAGGATGAGAATAATAATTAAAATGAATAATGTGGCATTCCATCCTAGGATCCCAATGCGCAATGCATGATAATCAGGAAACAAAAACAGAACCCAGGGGCAACCGACCAAACTAAATGGGGAAGGCCACTTGATAGAGATGGGTTTTCAAAGCAGACTTGAATATATCTACCGACTCTGATTGCCTGATTTCAAGTGGCGAGGCGTTCCATAGCCTGGGTGGCACGCTAACAACAGCCTGATCACCAAAAGAGTGCAACCTAGACCTGGGAGTGCTGAGAAGTTGGAGATCAGAAGATCTTAAGAACCTTGATGGTTTATATAAATGTATTAGTTCCTGCTAGTAATGTGGGGTGAGCCCTTTTAAAGCCGTATAGGCTAAAAGCAGCATCTTAAAATCCACTCGGAATTTGACTGGTAGCCAATGAGTGGATAAGAGGACCGGTGTAATGTGCTCACGTAACGGTGCACGTGGTGTGAGCACTCAGGCAGCTGCATTCTGAGCAAGCTGGAATCTGCCCAATACTCTGCTCGGTATCCCAGCCAGTGAGGCGTTGCAGTAGTCGAGTCGGGATAACACAAAAGCACGGACCAGTTTCTCCAAGTCAGCAGGTGACAGGAAGCGATGCATTCTGGGAAATATTTATTAAGTGGAAAAGGACATTTTAGCCACCTTAGATATATGTGCCTCAAAGCATAATGACTGGTCAATCTGAACACCAGGGTTTCTGACCTCCCGTGTGGGACAGACATCGTGACCATCAATCAACAAAGGACGCGAACCAATTGAGAAAGATGCAGAGGGGAGCCGATGAATAGAGCTTCGGTTTTGTCGGCATTGAGTAGCAACAAGTTTTGGCGCAACCATGAATTCACTCCTGTATAGTAGCGTCATGCAAGCAAACTGCATCTCGCAACAATCTGTCAACACACAAAAGCGCGTATGTATATAACCAAACAAAGACCAAGGTCCCCCGTATATCCTTTAAGAGACTGTTGGGGCAAGTGTCGTTAAGCAAGCACCCATGAAGGGCAGAACGATACAGGAGAAAGTAGGTCACCTACACCACACCCGACCGCCTTTGTCTCCCCAGTGGCGATAGTTACACACCGCTCCAGGTACTCATTTGAGGCTGAGCGGACCTAGGGGAGGCCCAGGACCGGATCAGATATTCGTCACCGGTGTTGGCCGTGAGCGGAAATTGAACCCGGGTCGCCGGGTGCATAGCGCAGCACGCTAGCCACTACACTGCCGCTCCCCACATAGGATGTGAACATATATATAGACGTACACAGTATATTCGCATGTTTTCACACGACGAGTTAATTGGGAGGAAACTGGATCGCCCGGAGAAAATCAACGTGTGCGAGGGAGCAATACTCTATCCCCCATATGGATGGGACAAATGGAAATTCCGTCCACACTTTGCAGCACAGCCTTCACGGCACTGGATCACAAGCCAAGGCGCATAGCCACCGCCGCCCGGCTGAATCACGAACATCCAGCCACGGGCACTACGAGTGGGTCCGTTGTGTAGGTTGGTAAATCGCTGCGCCCACCGCTTTGCCTCTCTCTCCGCTTGCACGACCACAACACCGAGCTGGAAAGCCAGAGGCGATCCGGCCACGTGGCTCGGCGGCTTCGGCGGAGCCAATCGGAAGGTTGCAAGCCATTGTCCGAGTGGTAACATGTGGGGTAATGCAGAGCAGCCAGAAAAAAAACCCACGTGTGTGAGGGGACAACGGTGGAGGAGGGGGGGGTAAACCCAGCTCATCATCCCAATGGCGTAGATAAATTGAGTACGGTACTACTTTGTGGGGAAGTCAACAGTGATTGACCGATGGACAGACTCGCCCCCCACCCCCCACCATGAAAACTAGGAATTTACACCACTGGCTCACCAGGGCTGTAAGCAGGAGATGAGTGCCAATGCCCTCGATGTCCACCTGAGCCGCAGGAGATCACTCTGACGTGACAACAAGGGAAGACAGCCTTGGATATGCGAGAACAAATCAGCTTGATTGAGGCAAATACGTCCAGCATTAGCCACGGCTAATCGGATTTCACAAAGCCGTATCGAGGCTCTCTCCGCTTAAAGAACTTTTGGCTGGAGTGTTTTTTTTATCATTCGTAAATGTGTTACTGGGTCATTTAAACGCAATGCGGGGGAAACGCTCCCAATATCAGCCGTCCGAAAGTCGCAGAGGTAACGAAGACAAACACGCCGCAGAGGAAGGCTGCTGGGCCATCATCCCTTCGGCTGCATCGGCGATTCCCCCAAAAATCCCGGCGATAGCCATCGCCGCCGCGTTGAGGATCACTCAGCGATCGATGGGAGGGACCTCAGGGCC